TAAAAGATTCATCATTTCTGGGGGAAAAAACTAAGTCTCAAAAAAGTAAAGACCTGTATCAGAGACATATTGTAACTTTAGGTCCAGTGACTTCCTAAGTGAGACTTCATTATGAAGAGATTTGGAAAAGCAATGAAGTCCGAGGCCCTGAGCGAGAGATCCATCCATCAATCACCCAGATCTTGTCCCCTGTTTGTTTAATGTCCCTCCCCTTTTTTTTTTGGAGTGGAAAGAACACAGAAGGTATAAAAACACAGTATCTAATAAATGTATTGCAATCCTAGGAAGCCAGAACAGAAATAATAAGGAAATTTAAATTCACGTCATTAGCAATTTTGTAACTAGTTTAGTCCTAAGTGTAGTAGTCAATTTTGGAAACATGATTTGGGGTCTGAAGTCTATTTCAGGCATTTAAAACACTGAGAAAGCAATATCAGACTTTTCGTTTTAATTAAATACTCAGCATAAATTTTTATTAAATAAGTTTGCAATTAACAGTTAAATATTTAGGAACATCTAATGTACTATATTAATAAGTTCTACTTGATGAGTTGTGCGAACAATGTAAATATTTAAGAGTGCTGGTGGATGGTGAGAGAATGTCAGTTGCCCGATAAATGTAAAAGATGAACCAACAGGACCTTAAACAGAATGTGCGTAGTTACGGAAACTCCTCCCCACGCACAAAATCTCCCGGGACATGAATGAGTTCACCCACTAGTTGGCAGATGGGCTACCTTTCCTGACACCCTGGCTGACAGCCATAACACGGTTAGCTTTCCACCACCCCAGCAGAGACTCTCAGGACACACAGCACACGCTCCCAGATGGGAGTCCACTCTGGGGAACAAGGGAACAGACACGGACACAGCTGGCCAGCTGCGCCCTAGTCCCTCCAGCGGTGCCCACACTGTGCATTGCAGCACTTGTAGAAGGTCGTCATTGGCTCGTCTGCAGAGCGGGTCTGAAGCTGCATGAAATAGGCACGAGGATGTTCGCATTTGGGACACTGCTCTGGAAACGAGAAAAAGAAATAAGTGGTCCACGTTATTTAACACATGAGGCTCGTGACCAGCATACGTGCTTGAAGCAAATGTTATGTAAAAGGCAGCAGAGCCCCTCCCTGGCTCACCTGGTGACCCTGTACCGTGATTAAAGGCTACAAACGGTGATCTCATTCCCAATGAGCTCTCACACTGAGGGGATCCAGGAGAGCTTGGAAACACCCCCTCCTCACCTCCTGGGTCCCTTTTTTTTTTTCTCAAACCTGGTGGAAGACTCGTTGGAAACATAACATGGCTGCTGCGTGAATTACGGGGCCCACGCCACGTAGATTCCCCCTAACAAGTTCATCTCCATCATCTGGGCAGCGAAGATGCCCTCTCTTCTTCCCAGGAGCTCCCAAGGGCTGACCAATCCACTTCCCCGCGTATTGAGGGGTCTATTTGGCAGTAGTTCCTCAGGCTGTTCTTATCAAGATCTCACCACACATCCCGGATCTTTTCCAAGTGCCCCGGGACACACATTTACCTTCAAAGGTATTTACTTTGAAAAACTAACCCTGCTCTTGACAGGGTTCAAACACTCTCAAACACCATTTTGGACATTAGGGGCGTAACTTATCTTTTAATGACAAATTCTGCCATTGCTAAATTTTTAACATAGCAGACCTGGATACTGGTCTAGAGGGGGAGAGAGATGGTACTAATCTGACTTCCCTCTTCTTCCTCTCAATGCAGGTTGTGTAGGGCTCTGCTCTGTCCTCCCCTGGTTACATCTATCTCTACTAAAAATGAATCAAGACTTGAAAAAAACATTTATTCTACTGAGACTGCAGTTGAATGCTCTCTTCACGTAAGTATATCACAGGCTGACATGGAGCAGCAGCATTGGCAGCTTCATACTTATCCACAGCTCAGTAACTAAACGTTTCCCCTCTCACCCGCAGTAGAGTCAACATTCTCCCAAGCAGCTGCTCCACCAAGCACGTCATCCACTTCTTTGAGCTTCGGATACTTCCGATTGGTTACCTAACGAACAACAGCAAGCCTTCAGACTCTCCGAGTTGGTGAACAGTACAACCCCGGGCCACCAAACCACACCTCCACACCTGCCATCAGGTGTCTCTCCAGGCTTTCTTCCTCCTCAGCCTGGAGGGATACTAAGTGAAAAACCAGTGTTGCCGCCAACACAAAGCAGGATGCNTTGGTTAAGAGCTCGCTCAAGAGTTTGAGCTCTGAGCAACAGCGGTTCGAGTCCAGCCCGAGCTGAGCAGCCGCTGAGCTGCCAACAGGTAGCAGCATAGCTCAGCTTAAAAAAATAGATAAATAAAATAAACTTTAAAAAATTTCTTTAAGTGAACTCTGAATGTCATGTTTTTAAGGCCCAGTGGAGAGTGGATTGTTTTGTCATCACACTGGATGGCAAAGGGTTGTATTATGCAGTGACGACTGGTCAACGTTGCCAGGCTAAGCATACGTCCCTGGCACCGTGCTCAATACACATTCTTCACAAAAATTAAAAGTAAAAATGAGGCAACCAACCAAATGAAATTTCCAAGTGGCTCATTTGTCCACCAAGCAAGGAAAGCCACTGCCTGATGGTGGCTTCATTATATTGGATGGCAGCAGCTGAAGAAGCGTGTCCCAAGAAAATAAAATGCAGACTACTAGCCTTCTGGCGAGAACAGCTGTTATAAAAGTTAAGGACACTGGTAGCAACATTGATAGTCCTTTCAAGATGAGGCAAATACTTTGAAGCGATGATGTTCCTCAGCCCTTGATGAAGCCACAGGTGTTACTGAAATTGCTCCATGGCTGTTTCTTCAAAGAGTCGATGCCTCGACACTGAGCTAGGAAGTGAACAAAGACCTGGCGACTGTGCATGGTCTGCAAAGAACTAAGAACTGCTGGCAAGGGGCGGCCGGTTGGCTCGGGTGGTTAGAGCGCAGTGCTCATAACAGTTGCCGGTTCGATCCCCACATGGGCGACTGTGAGCTACACCCTCCACAAATATTGGGTCGTCGGGAGTCATGATGTATATTTTTTCTCTGTTTTTCAATGCAAAAATGCGTCATAACTTTCCCAACGACCCAGTAGATTGAAACGACGACTTGACTTGGAGCTGATGAGTCCTGGAAAACATACTGTTCCCCACTAAAGTTTAAAAAAAAAAAAAAAAAAAGACTGCCAGCAAGACCATTTTCAAAGTTGAGAAAACACTAATTCAGTAGAAACTGAAATGGAATCTGCAAATACGTG